ACAAAAATGCTGTTTGCCTGGGAAGTTAAAACTCAGTTTAAATGCAGGTGGCAAGGAAACTCCAGAAGCAGCTGCAAGGGGTGAATTTGCAGAGCTATCGCAGCAGCGAGCGCTGGCAGAAAGCCCTGGAAGAGCTCATGGTTTGGTTGTGTTTGCTTTCAGGCTCCTCCAGGAAAGGTGGAAGAGGTGGTGAAGTTTGCTATCGATGCAGGCTACCGCCACTTCGACTGTGCCTATTTCTACCAGAATGAAAATGAAATAGGGAATGCGATCCAGCAGAAGATCAAGGAGGGGGCTGTGAAACGGGAAGACCTCTTCATTGTCACTAAGGTACAAGGATGAGGGATTATTGGGGCATTTAGCTTTTCTCAAAGAGAAACCCTTGTTCCATGTGTAAAGTAACCAAAGAGCTTATTCCCTTCTATGATAATTCATTTCATGGTTGTCTTGTTGTGTGCTATAAATTCCATCCTTCATTTGCAATTTGGACTGTGCTTTACCTAAGGAATGATTGACACCTTTGAAAAGATAGCGTGGCTGTTGCCTATCGAATAATTTCCTTGCATCTATTAAGTCACTTAATTATACTGAAGGTTCATTTGCATGCACCCTAGAAAGATCAGAAAATAAAGACAAGACAGATGTCTGAATTCAGAGGGGCTGTGCTACTTGCTGGTTTGCAAGACATTTGAAAATGGCATCATATACAAAACATAAGCCTGAAAGGAAGAAGAAATTAAAGTATGGGACTTCAGTCTAAAGTATTTTCCATGTACTTATTCCATTTCTTTAACTCTTTTACTTGTCTCAGCAATGTCCTTTACCAAAAAGTGAGAACACTTCAACTAAAAAACTTATGTCTTGGGGTTTTTACCAAGAAAACCAGAAAACATTGATCATAACGAAGCTTTTCCACATACTCTTCATTTTTTTAAAGAACAGGTTTTAATTTGAATAATACTTGCAATTTCTTCTATTTAAACAACCTGAATTTTCATTTCAAAAATGAAGTAAAATTGACAACAGTTCTCACTGTGACAGTTAAAAGGGACAGAAGGAGGGTAGCTATGAGCTGCCCAAGACTCAAAATTTAGGCTGAAAAAAAAATATTCTGACAGTAACAGCTTTGCTGTGTCAGATACACCTGGCAGAGTGTTACATTTAGTTCTGAAAATCTCTTTTCATAAGTAGGAGTACTGGTTGTCCACCTTCATTACTGATTCCCTTATTTGTGGTATATTTGTCCTACCTTGCTATTAAAATATTGGCATCCATTCAGTGTGCACTGGGTAGGTGGGGAGGGAGTTGTCCTCCCAGACCCCCAAGCGAGAAGCTTCTGGCCCCTGATCTGGACTGTGGAAGCTATAGAGTCATGCTCAGGCTTGGTTTCTTCCCACAGCTGTGGAACACATTTCACGAGAGGTCCCTGGTTAAGGTAGCATGCAAGAGGAGCCTCGCGGCACTGCAACTGGACTACCTTGACCTCTACCTGATACACTTCCCTATGGGATTCAAGGTAGTCCATCTCTACATTCCTCTTCTCCTTACCTGGCTAGAAACATAGCGTATTCTCTCATCTACACTGTGGCCCTCTTCATGCTATGGTTCATTTGGCTCTTCCCTGAACCTAGTGGCAGCAAGCATTCAGTCACTAACTAGGTAGTGGTATCTTTTAGCATGTGGGTTTCCATGACTGTTGGAGCGAGGTAGTCGTAGGTATGACCACTGCTAATGAGCCCCCTGGGTCTTCAGGGAAACTGTAACCAACACACGATGGTGGAGTTTGGGATCGTGGCCTTCTGCTGGCCAGAAGAGTGTGAACATCTCAGGTTTTGGAGATGTTGCCTTGATCTGGAGTAACCAACAGTGAAAAATGAAGCATAGCGCAGCGAGTATGTGCTTCCTCCACCCCCGCCCAGTCTACACCTGTGTAAAATAAATAAAAAAATCTACAACAAAGATAGAGGGGTGTTTGCTCCCTTCTCTCTAGATATGCCTAAATTAGTCACATAATTGCTACTAGTCCCCACTCTTTGTATGCAGGGATTGATTTGTAGAAATATGGCCCTCATCCAAAAGAGAATAATTTTTAGTTATGCAATATGTTTAAATAACCAGCTAACTTTCTGCCTGTGATTCTGGTCAGAAATGTTAGTAAACAGTAGGAAATTAAACTCTTTTTAAAAGTTTATGCATTATCTGCCTTGAAACAACAGGCTGGTGAAGAACTGCATCCTCTGGATGATAAGGGTATGAGCATCCCCAGTGATACTGATTTTCTGGACACATGGGAGGTAAGTTAATGCTTGCTCTTTTGAGCAGGTATCAGCACTAAAGGTGGAGCAGAGATCTACACGCATGATGAAATCAAGGGATCGGTTTCGGTACGGAGGATAGTCACACAAAATTGTATTTCATGACCAGAACGAGCAGAGCTGCTGCTACTCCTTTGTTTTGAGGAGTAAGAGGCTGATGTCTTTAATAAGACTGAAGACTAGGAAAATATCAGCACTGCAGGTGCTGTCATTAAAATAATATTTGAATACTCACAATGGTAGAAGTGAAGCGTGGATTAATCCGTGTGTGGCTGTTAATTTACTGGGTGTTTCATACAGATAGGGAATTCTCACACTTTTCAGTGTTGGCCATCAGCATCTCGGGCTGTCCTTCAATACTCCTTTCCTGTGGACTGAGACAATTCACGAGTCTGCTTCTGCTACCTGCACCTCTGTGATGCTACAACTCTGGGAATGAATAGTTTTCTCTACAATAGCAGATTACAGTTGCAAGAAAGTATTTTGAGGTGACTGAGTTTAAGCTAACATCCTCCCTGCTGTGTTCTGCCAACTCGGAGGTAGTGTGCTGGCATAGGGGGAGGTGGAGGGGTCTCCCTTGCTTTTTTAGCTCCAGTAAAATGACTCCCAAAGAAGGCAAAGCAAAAGATTTTGCTTCTCATTACAGATGGGTTGGCCAAGCCATTCTTATATTACTTTCCCATCTGCAATGGGACATAAAGCATATAGATAATACAAAGTGCAAAGATTTATTTTTTTTTTAATTTGAGGTACTATTATTTAATCTAATGTGGGTTATTTGTTGGTTTGTCACTAGCTTTAGGGAAATAAAATGGTGTACTTGACGGTAATACCGCCTCATAAATACACGTTGGTTATCCTACTCATTAGGCCATGGAAGAGCTGGTGGAGTGTGGTCTGGTGAAAGCCATTGGTATCTCCAACTTTAACCATGAACAGATTGAAAGGATCTTGAACAAGCCAGGACTAAAATACAAACCAGTAAACAATCAGGTAAGATTTTTATTTCTACTGATGTCAACTAACGTTGGAATATTCCTAAATATATTCTTGCTGCACTTCAGCTCTAAAACTAACTTCTGCCATGACCTTTAAATAGTTTTGGTGCCATGGAAAGACCTTGCAAAGCACAAGGTATCTCTGGTTATCTGAAAGTCCCTTCAAGTCAACACTGCCTGCAATATGCAAGGCTTTGGTATGGTGTCAGTGTTGACAGCTTTTAGCTGACAGGGATCTCAACAGAAAACTTTTGTAGACTTGTCTGTCTATAATGCAGTGGAGATTTGAGAGCAATACCATACAAAACAGTATGGATTATTCATATGACAGTAGTATGAAGTGGATGAGAATATTCCATTGTTAGACATTGGAAAAAAGTGAAAATATCTATTACCTTGTATAAGACTTTGTGACTTTCTGCTGCATGACCTCTTTCGCACTCCCAGTGTCATAGCCCAAGTTGCCACAGGCCCGTTTCAGCTGGGATAACCAGCAAAATCCCTGCTGCGAGCTACTGCACCGGCACAGGAATGTATAGGAATGCTCTAACTCATTCACTGGACTTACTTGTTTTTTAGCATAAAATAAAACTTTTCCCTGAACTTCATTATAAAAGAGGAGGGTTGAAGTATACGATTATATAACAAATCCTCACGACATACCTCACAAATTAAATCACAGGATGGCAAGGGCATCAGGACCTTCTGACTTTCTTCCATATGCGACTTCTTTGCACTTGGCTGAGGGTGCTGAATGGCCATCTCTGCTGGTTTGGGAATATCCAAGGAAATCCCCACACTGGGTCCCATGCAGGCGCTGTGCTGCTGCACTGTGGTGCCAGGCTTGGGGCTAGCTTGTGCACCAGCCAGGCTTAGCACGAAGGGGACATCGGGCTTAGAAAGATTCTATTGAGGGTTTTAAAGTTCTGGTGGGGATGGACCCAACTAGTCAAAGTCAAGAGGACGGAAGCAGTCTGTTTGCAGTGGTGTCCAGCGACAGGACTAGGGGCAATGGATGCAAACTGAAACACGAGAGGTTTCAGTTGAATATGAGGAAGAACTTCACTCTGAGGGTGGCAGAGCACTGGAACAGGCTGCCCAGGGAGGTTGTGGAGTCTCCTTCTCTGGAGATATTCAAAGCCCGCCTGGATGAAGTCCTGTGTAGCATGCTCTAGGTGAGCCTGCTTTAGCAGGGGGGTTGGACTAGATGATCTCCTGAGGTCCCTTCCAACCCTTACGATTCTGTGATTCTGTGTGATTCTGTGATTCTGTAACTACCCCCATGCCAAAAGCTGCACCAACTTTGATACTAAAGAACTTCAGGCCTTGACTCCAGTTATCTTCTCCACGGGTGTGGCTGTGCCATACCCTGTCATTACAGTAGTTGCCTAGTTCTAGCTCAGGTCTAAATAAACTACTGTACATGGATTTCATGTCACCATGCTTGGTAGCAAAGCTATAGCATGTAGAAATGGCTGGGTATGTGCATGGTGCCACGTTATGCAGTGTAGACATAGCCCTGTGGTCACACTATGGCTTGTGCCAAGTTGAGCAGCATCCCCATGCAGGCTCCTGTTGTTTCCAGTTAAAGGACATTTTGCCCGAATGGCTGGTCACAACATGATCTGAGCTAACCTAGGGAAGCTCATCTCCCCAGGTTCCTTCACGTTTTCTGTTTGTTACGCTCTGAAGCTCACTGCAGTCTGCCTCTGTGTCAATCACGATGTTTCTGTGCTTGCAGATTGAATGTCATCCCTACCTAACCCAGGAAAAGTTGATAAAGTACTGTAAATCCAAAGGGATTGCTGTGACTGCATACAGCCCCCTAGGATCTCCTAACCGCCCATGGTAATAAAGGATTGCAATCTTTCTGTATACAAAATGATGCAATTGCTACTTGAATCTTTGAGGCAAATGATGTAAATAATACAGGTATAATGAGAAAAGTGCTGTTGCTTTGTTGCCAATTATTTCACACAACTGTCATGCTTCCTGCAGGGAAGCTAATACCTTTCTACCAGCAATATCCTGGCTTTTGTTTTTAATAGGGCCAAGCCAGGGGAACCTGTGCTGCTGGATGATCCCAAGATTAAAGAGATTGCAGTTAGACATCAAAAAACCCCTGCCCAGGTAAGTGGGATTGTGTGGGGCAAACTATTCCTCCTCCTCCGACATTTTTGCAAGCTAATGGCCAGTCTTAGCAGACTTCTTATCCTTCTCTAAAGGTACAGTATAATAGGGTTAAACTGCACTTGACTCTTCATACTGCCCCAGTTCTTACCAGCATTCACACAAATTATATATTATTATATATATATATATATCATACAGGTATTTTCTAAGAGATCTTGAGTGCTGAGCTTTGGGGGGGCTGATCAGCAGTGGTACATGCTTCCCTCAGGTGTTCCCCTTCCTAGGAAGGTTTCTTCTGCTCCTAGAGAGAAGTGCTTTCCCCCTGAGAACCCCCCTCCTCTGAGGTCTCCTTACAAATTATCAAGCCAACTTGTTACTCCTTTTTTCCAGCTAAGTTAGCCAAGTTATTCTTCAGAGAAGCCCTGTAAGTTGCAGACCTATTTAATTGCTCCCTGTTTGCTCATGTGCACAAAGAATCATTGAAAGCTGCTTGATTATTCAAGATTAAATTTTTTCTGTGTTAGTTGCTGGTCACACAAATGAGTTCTTGCGCAGGGTGTGCAGAAACTGCACTTGAAACAAATCCACATGTTAGCAGGCAATCAACCATAGTCATGTTTTAAGATAGGCAGAGCAGGACAAAAAATTGTATGCAACAGTCCTCTTTTGAGGTGGGAAAACTTTTAAAATATAGAAATACGGTTTTTCCTTCTAAGGACTTCAAAAAGCATAACCTAGGTGAGGTACTTACCTGTGAGCTCAGAACAATCTGCAATAACATTATGTTCATTTGGTCTGAGCACCCATGTAACATAAGCCAGAAGCATCATAATTTTTCTCCTTTACCCCCCCCCCCCCCCCCAATCAAAACAGAACAAATCCTGGGGAAGCCAGGATGTAGCAACAACATAGGCCAGAAACAATTCTAGTTTGTCAGTAGACTGCAAGCGAATGCTGGCAAATCAAACTCCTCCATGCAAACTGGTAGAATCTTCCAAAGAGTGAACATGGTTGTAGAAAGATAAATTGGTTTGCGCATGAAAAAAAAAAGTAAGAGAGAATACAAAATTCATTTGAACGGATTTCTTGGTACACCTGTGCTCATGCTCCTCCTTGCCCTTTCCTAGGTTCTGATCCGGTTTCTTATCCAAAGAGACGTGATTGTCATTCCCAAGTCTGATAAACCACAGCGTGTTGAGGAAAACATCAAGGTGAAGTTTCCATTGGGACTGCTGCCACCTTTATTACACAGGATAGGCACCCACACCCGTATCTCCTCCATGTTTCCAAGCAGCACCTAAGAGGCATTGGAAGGGGAGCACAGAGATGCAGAAATTGAGGCTTGGCACTACCTAACCATCCACACTTATTCTCTGGGGAAAAGCATTTTGTTCCTGACAGGAGAGAAATTGGTTACACCAGGATGATCTGAGCCCTGCTGCTGTGGAAGGGGAATCCCCACTTTGGACTTGCCCTCTGGGAAATGCTTAATGAGCCCCTCTTTAGAGTGTAAAGGAATAAATTGTAAACACCAGACCCATTAATGTCTCACTTGGAGGCTGCAGTTCCCCTTGGCGGGGAGGTTCAGCTGGATTTTTGCTCATAAGGCCTGGCATCTTAGATGACATCTCTGTGCTACTTTCAATTCACACTGCTACATTTAAAATGACTTATTTCTCCTATAAACCACGAGCTAGAATTCTTAGATAACTGATTAATTGAGAGACAACTAGTTGCTGTTGGTGCCCGGTAGTCCTCTGTTGTAGCAGACGTACTTACTGCTAACTCCAGTGTTTGTGACACATCGAGCAATCCATCCTTAGCACCTGAAGTTTCCTGGTTGTGCGTTGCAACACAAACTGCAGTGGTTTTCGCATTCAGCCACGCAGAACTACAAAACATTGCTGTGAACAGTGCCTCAGAGAGAAAAGGGCTAACTTGATTATTTCAAGGGTAAATTGGTATTTGGCTGAGAAATAAGAGGATGTTCCTATCTCAAGTCATAAATGCATGAAGCACATGTAGTAGCTAACTACTCATGAACCTAAAAAGGCTTTTCTTTTTTTTTCCCTGCTAGGTGTTTGACTTTGAACTGCCTAAAAAGGAGATGGATGTCATCCTCAGCTTTAACAGGAACTGGAGGGCGGTTCCAGTGCTCCCGTATGCTCCTTATTATCCTTACTATCCACTAGTCCTCTCTCTCTATCTGTATTTTCATCCCCCATAACTTGAAAACATACATGACCAAAACTAGGGAGAGCTCATACCGTAAACCCTGGACCCTTTTTGTCAAGCCTTTGACACTGTATCCCACAGCATTCTCCTAGAGAAGCTGGTGGCTCACAACTTAGGCAGGTGTACTCTGAGTAAAAAACTGGCTGGATGGCTAAGGCCAGAGACTTGTGGTGAATGGAGTTAAATCCAGTTGGCAGCTAGTCACAAGCAGTGTTCCCCAGGGCTCAGTATTGGGCCCAGTTCTGTTTAACATCTTTATCAATGACTTGGATGAGGGGATTGAGTGCACCCTCAGTAAGTTTGCAGATGACACCAAGTTGGGCAGGAGCGTCAATCTGCTTGAGGAGAGAAGGGTTCTGCAGAGGGATCTGGACAGGCTGGATCAACGGGCTGAGGTCAACTGTATAAGGTTCAACAAGGCCAAGTGCCGGGTCCTGCACTTTGGTCATAACAACCCCATGCAACACTACAGGCTTGGGGAAGAGTGGCTGAAAAGCTTCCCGGTGGTAAAGGACCTGGAGGTGTTGGTTGACAGCCGGCTGAACATGAGCCAGCAGCGTGCCCAGGTGGCTAAGGTGGCCAACAGTATCCTGGCTTGTATCAGGAATAGTGTGGCCAGCAGAAGTAGGGAAGTGATCATGCCCCTGTACTTGGCAGTGGTGAGGCCACACCTCAAATACTATGGGAGGGGAGAACTTCTTGATCTCTACAGCTGCCTGACAGGAGGTTGTAGTGAGGTGGGCGTTGGTCTCTTCTCCCAAGTAACTAGTGATAGGATGAAATGGCCTCAAGTTGCATCAGAGAAAGTTTCAATTGGCTATTAAAAAAAATTTCTTCACCGAAAGGGTTGTCAAGCATTGGAACAACGGTGCCCAGGAAGGTGGTTGAGTCACCATCCCTGGAGGTGTTCAAAAAACTTGTAGACATGGCACTTCAGGACATGGTTTAGTAGGCATGGTAGTATTGGGTTGACAGTTGAACTTGATGATCTTGGAGGTTTTTTCCGACATAATGATTTTATGACTCCAGGTAATGAGACACATCCTGGAACTGTCATCAGGAGGGAGATTCTTTCACGGCATTCCCTTCAGCATCTTGGTGTTGCACATGCTTGTTCACAAGCCTGTGTTCAAATTAAGGACAGGAACAAAACTTGAGTACATTGGCAGTGGGGGAGGGAAACTACAGTAGGGAAATGCTGCTGAAGATACTTTCTACAATACTTAAATAACCAGTTCTTTCTCTTCGCAGAGCTGTCAATCACAAGGACTACCCATTCAAAGCAGAGTATTAATGCACTGGTTTTCCAGAGACCTCCGCGTAGCTCCTTCCAGATTAGAAGATGTACGTTGTAGCTTAGTCTTGATTATTTCTTCTGTACTTGACAATCATTAAGAGCAGTTACTTGTTCTCCTTTTTTAGGGGGAGACCACTAGCCAGTATAAAAATGCATCAATAGGGATGGGTCTTTTGTTATGGTGGTTAACAGAAATCTGCTTTTGATTAGTAGTAAAAAGACAAATGTCTCTTCATTTCCTTTTTTCCTTGTCTTCCTTAATTAAAGACATGTCTAACAAAGAACTTTGGTTACTTACAAGATTTTTTTTATATGTAATTTCCAGTGCGGTCAATCATACTGGTTCATGAGTTGCTGTCAAGGAATGCTGTCTTTAATTACATATTTTATATGAATAAAGTTTGAATAACAACAAAACTTAATCAGTGTAGTGCTTAAATTATTTCATACAATTATTTATAAAACATGTCTGAAGTCTGTTTTTTTAAAATTTTAATACAGATAGAAATGAGCTTTTATAATTCCGGTAACAAGGACAATACATAGAGACTACTTTCTGGCTTATGCATCAAACAGGATCATGCTCTGGCTAGAACCTAAAGAACAAAGTAGTACCTATTACTCCACATAGCCCTCCCTCCGGACAATTAGAAATTGAACTCATGTGTGATAAGAGGTGAAAAGTTGAAGGCAGCATCATGTGCAATGATAACACACATCAAAATACACCCAGCCCAACATAAGGGTCTGACTGACTTGCTCTGGACAGATTTTTGCACCTCTGCTGGCAGCATTCACAACAATACATCCAGACAAGGGTTGGCTTTATCTAAGGAAAACATAGAAAAAATTTTCTTTAAAAACACCAAAGCAAACCCTGAGGTAGACCTGCAGTTGCTTTAAAGTATTTTCAGATGGGTAATGCTTGGTCAAAGCAAAGGCAGGCTTGAGAAAGGCTGTTTTGTGGCATTCTGCACTCTGACAAGAGAGTCTGGTTAGGACGCCGAGTGAGCTGCAGCAAAGCATCATGAGAAGCTAAGGTGACTATCTGGTATCGTCTGAAAACACATCAACACATAATGGTATTGAGACACCAAAAAAGCTCGGAGCGCTGCTGACTCAGCCACTGGGATTTGTCTTTGGCTAATTCTGCCCAGGAGGTGGTGCCAGCTGGTGGGAACAAACCATGACCGCACCACTTTACAGTATTGCCTAAAAGTAAAACCGACTGTGTCCAGCATGCTCCCATGCTCTCAGAAAAGGCAATAACCAGGAGCAAAAGAAACTTACCTACATCAACAAGGAAAAGCGTCACTTCAGCAAAGATTGCAGAGAAATGTAGCAATGCAGTTGGTCAGTACAAGGCAGGAGAACAAGCACGTTTGCAAGCATACAAGCTCTTTTCAGGTTAAATTAGGCAGCATCCGATTATTTCTCCTCCAGCAGTTCAGAAAGCTGTGCTTGCTGCAGCCTTCCCAGTGCTTCCCGTGGAGCTGGTAGCAGCCTGGGGGGCCTCTTTCGGATGACTGTGACCTGGTTAGAGCAGGGTGTTATGTGCTGTGCTGCTGCTCGAGAGAAAAATGAAGGGGATAGGAGGACAACGGCAAAGCCAGCAGCTCCCCAGGCTTGGTCCCCATGGTCATCCAAGCCTGGAAGCACATCCCACCGAGGCAGACAGGAGAAACAGGACAGCTCTCACACAGAAAATATTTTTCGAAGCAGGAAAGCAGATGACTGTGCTGCTAGGTCAGAACCTGCTTCATTGAGAATGCTGGCTTCTGGATGATGCATAGCTCCTGTCTTGTACTGATAGGCATGACAATTACATTTTTATTTTTTTCCTTAAGAATATGTAGGTTAAAGCTGCTGATTTTATGACATGGCTGTCTGGCGTAGGATAGGACATCAAGAGAGACATACTTCTATGTTCTTTGCAACAATACCTTATTTTACACAGTCTTAGCATGATTCCTCTGCCAGTTACAACTGGCTCATTCCTACTCATTAACAAACACAGGGCTGCTGATGGAAATATTCCATTTATTGTGGATGCAGTTTCAGAATACATTGTTTGAACAAATCATTTTTATTGCAGCTATCGGATGTATTTGAAAGACTCAGAGGAGTGTTTACAAAACCCCCAGACAAAAAACATGACAACTCACAGACAATGTCAGGCACAGTTTCACCCCCTACAGATAACTACGTGCATCTCTATATGTAAACAAGATGTTACAGCCAAGCAGGGGAGCTCATCTTTGAGTTGAAATATAACATTATTCTTCTTGAGGAAGAAGTCAGAAGCTGTAAGAGATGGAAGTGGTGAAAAGGGAGATCCTGGTAGTTCCGATGCACAACAAAGCTGTCAACAATGTGCTCAGGGGCTACTTCAGTTACTCAGTTTATGCCACCCATACACTGTAGGATGTAAATGCTAAACTGTATGGCATTTAAATTCAAACCAAGCTGACGTCTTATAGCCATGTGTTTACTATATACAAATGAAAACATCTGTAAATAAGATATTTGGGAGAGAGAGTTAAAAAGAAGCACTATAGAGATAGAGGTTTACTTCATTTTAGGTGGACTTAGTGTACGGCACTGACGGATGGCAAGATTTAGTGTACAGTCATTTGAAACAAGCTCCAGCTGTGTTTAGGTTTTTTTTCTTTTTAATTATGGTAGTTTTATATAAATTAAACTACAACGTTTTATACAAGTGACCTATTTTTGACCCTCTATACCCTTACCTTTTCCTCTTTTAAAAACTATACTTTCTTTTTAATTACCCATTACTGGGCAACTGACATTTAAAATTTTTTAATACTTATCTCACCATACCTCTAATGGCAATTATGAAGTCTTACTATAGAAAAGTGTGTGATTTTGTCTTTATTTTTTTAAGCTGTGATATTGGCTGATTATGTATGTTTATTACTAAATATAATACTCTAGCATGTATTAAAGCATTCTACCATTAGTAGTGCCTTTAGGCTAAACTTTGTAAAGCTATGTGTGTATATATTCTAAATTGCATTCAATTACTAGTCACTAACAACAAAAAGAAATATCAGTACCGCTGTCAGCTAACATAATCATCCAAATTTAGGTATTAACTTAAACTAGAATGGAAAAAATGATACTTAAAAAAAAGTATAAAACAAAAAAATTAAGACACGTTATTGATGCAGTATTTCTCATGACATGGGCAACTTACAGAAAATATTACATTGTCAACTAAAGATATTTCTTCCATGCCTTAGTCTAAAGTGCAGAAAGAAAGACTTCTGTATCACAAAAGTAACCACTGTTTTTATAGGTTTACTGCACACCTTTCTTAAGCAACTTCACTTTACACGCATTTTGAGTTGACCTCTTATGCCAGCTGAAATCACTGTTCAGATATATAGTTAGTTATGACTATCAGTAGGAGAGTCTATATATTTCACAGCATGGGTTTCTTTAGGAATAAAGGCTCTTGTGCAAAGGCAGTACTATTATGATGAATGTCTAGACTGATTATTAAATACAGTGCTAATATACATGGTTTTAACTGGGATAATGCAAAAAGACATTTTGGTAAATAAACATAAATATAAAAAGAACAATTTAGCACTTTTTCCTTTTTTTTTTTTTCCCCCAACTGATTGGTCCAGCGTCTTTAGTGGCCTTCTACGGTTCTTTCTCAAATTGTCTCAAACCTGCTGAGAAAAAGAAAGATTAAAGATGGCTTGAAATAACCCAAACATATCTCTAAAATAGAGGAGGCATGGCTCTAGGTTAACGCACAGCACACAAGAAGGCAGGACAAAAGCTGGATGCTGCTGTGCTCGTGTACCGGGATTGCTCAGAGGTGGTCTCTAAGAGGACAAGCAGAATTTCACCTATCTCCCCTCTGACAGTCCTGGGAAGCAGCTCAGGGAGAGCTCAGGAGCTTTGCACCCAGAAATGGGGAGGGTGCTGCACCCAGCGCTCTCCCCAGCTGCAGGTGGGTGGCCGCCGTGCGGAGGCTGGCTGTGCTGCAGCGCGTGGAGCATGCGCTCCCAGCCCACGGCAAGACTGAAAGCCGGCTCCTGAGAGCATCCTCCTGCAGCCCCTCTGCTGAAGCCCTCATCTCACTCAGCCTTAGAGGAGAGGCTCGGCGGTGTCCAAACCACTCAGTGGGGTCTGGTCCTGTAGGCAATGACACATGGCTGCTAATGCCTTCGGTGGGAGCAAAGCAGCGCTAATGTTGGGCGAGCCTGAAAACCCCTCTCCTAACAGCTTGGTTTGAAAAAGGGTAAGAGGAGGAGGAAGGCACTCCATTTTGCATGACTCTAAACTGATAAGAAAAAGTTCACAGGTATACCATAGCTCTGGCTTCACAAACGAATGTGAAGAAAAAAGTGTGCTTATATTAATGGGTAGAAAATCAAAAGTTTTTCTATATTTCATCATTTTATTCCTAGTGAAGAGTCAAGGGATATTGCAAGACATCTTAAAGCTATTAAATTGATCAACGAATTTCCATTCTTCCCCACTGCTCCTTAGGCACATATTTCCTTTAATCGGTTTTGTTTGGAGTGGTTTAGATTAAAATAAAAATCTAAAAAGTGCACAAAAGCTAGGAGGGGAACTTTGCCGATTTGTTTCTGTATAACTAGGTTGTGTTTCCCCAACTAGTAGTAACTAGACTCTTTTTGCCTTGAGAAGACAGCAATGCACATCTCCAGCAAAAGCAATGTTTGAGATCCATTCCAGTCTGGATACACATGAAACTCACAACCAGCCAGAGGAATTATTTTAAAAAATCAACACTGCTGGATTTTCATCAGGTTTGACTATTACCCAGTGCAGTATTTAAAACCAGATGCAGGGCTCGTTCTCAGTAGTACTGAAATCTTCCATTTCTGCTCAAATAATAATGCTGCAACAGCCTCGCTTTTCGGGTTTCCCCTCTTCACTCATGAAAGACACAT